ACATGATTGTTGTTTCTATGTCATATGATAGCTGTATCTTTGTGTACATAAAACCATCTGCAAAGGATAGAGTGTCTTTTTGAAAGGTCTAGTAGCATTGCTGTATACTTCAGTTATCCTTTCACTAAATCCCTTCATTTATACTCTAAGAAACCACTAGGTAAAAGAAATCTCCCATTATTCATTACAAAAGATTTTATGCTTTCTAGAAAATTTGATTTAATTGTATGTTTAAAAATACATTAATTTTGTTTTGGTTTATCTGGGCTAAGCTTTTGAAATCACTCTACAGTATTTTTAATAATTAATTATTAGTGGCCTGGTTTACTGAATTGTAATATTTTACTGTTACCATTTTCAACACAATCTTCAGTGCTTAAAAATATCTATTTGAGAGGCTGGGGATTTAGCTCAGTGGCATAAGCACCTGCCTTGCAAGCCAGGAATCATGAGTTCGATCCTGGTACTGATAAAAAAAATCAATTTGAAATGTCTCCCCACAAAACAAAATCCTCACACTGTATAACAAATGAATGAATGTTCTCAAATCGCAGGCCTTAAAACTGAGCTCATTCCTTTTCCCAGCAACTCTATCAGGATCATTCCCTAATTAAGTTACTTAAGTGAGTTATAGACTCTTACTGTTTGTACTAAGTTTACACTTTATTCAATTTCAACTCAAGCAGTACATTCCAAGTGTGACAGAAGAAATGCATGAGTCTCAAATCAACTGTTGTTTTTTCCTCAGTCATTTTATTCTAGAACAATTTGCCTCCAAGTTGAATTTTACTATAATACTTATTATGCACCTTGATAATTGTATGCACCTTGACTTTGGGTGGCAACACACAGAAGAAAAAAAAATCTTTTTAATGCACCTTGACTTTGGGTGGCAACACACAGAAGAAAATCAAGAGTCAGAGACACACAGGGTGAATCTGGAATCATACTAAATGACAGCTAATTGTTTTCAGTGCCTGAATAGTATGATGTCAATTTCTCTATATAAACTTCTTCTCCATTTTCTGAAAGCCTGGTTTAAATCTTCATATTTTAAAACTATACAATAATCTTATTTTCACTATGAAAATGTTCTTTCTTCTAATCATTTTCCTTTGAGGAAACTCAGACTTCATGATTTCAGATAACTTTGCTTACACCATGTAAATGATTACTAATGCAAGACTAATTACTAGGGCCATCACCATATTTTCATTTTACCTTTACTTCATGTTCTTCATCATTTTTAGTATCATGTGTAGAACATTTTAAATGTATGTGCATACTTACTTGAGTTTTTGTTGACATACGAACATAATCATCATCTTTCTTTGTTCATTCCTTGACTTCATTCATTATAGACAAAAGCAGAAATATTTTCTTCTTGTCTACCACAGTATTTTTGTAGTCTCAATCTGCATTCAGCTTCTGACCCTCTCAGCTTTATGTGTTATCAGCAAATCATTACTTATTTACATTAGCATAATGTACAGATATTATTTTTGATCTATAAGACATTTTAGAATTCTTATAATTTTCTTTAAACCATAGGTTCAAATGTATACTCTGAAAATTAAAAAAAAAGAAAGAAATACAGCTGTGATCTTCTTAACATATGCAAGTATAAATGTCATTTTAATATCTGTCAGTTTTGAGAAAGATTGGTCTTGTACAGCCTGAGTTTCTGGTAATGAAACAGTTAGTAGCAGATCTGTAGCTCTCTCTGTCTTTAGGGGCAGCCAAAAAGATTTTACTTAATGAGACTTCCTTATGTTGCTCTTCAAATGGAAGCTACTGGATGAAAGACAACCAAGATTCTAAGGTGTCTGTAAATTGTTTTATCATGTAGGTTTAAAGTGAGTTTTTTAAAACATGTTAGAATTGATTAGGGTTTTCAAAATTTAGAATAGTTATATTTCAAGCCTGATTAATTTTTTATTTCTGTGGTTGTATTTCACCAAATAATACCTGAAAATTTGGCTATTCGTTTAGAATATATCAACCCCAATCAACAAATCACAACATATATAAAATGCCATTCAAATAAGTCATAGCTATTAAGGTTTAAAACTTCCAGATAAAAATATACTGACATAGGGTATAAAACACAGGAAATGGACAGATTTCTAGAACTACCAAAGCTCAATCAAGAAGATACAATTTTGAATAACCCAATATCACCTACTGAAGTTGGCAATGTTATTAAAAACTTACCAACAAAGAAAAGCCCAGGCCTTGATGGAATCACAGCTGAATTCTACAAGAAATTTAGAGAAAGTTTAATGCTAATATTCCTCAAAAATCTTCAGTGAAACTGAAAAAGAAGCAATCTTCCCTAACTCATTCTTGGAGGCAAGTATTACTGTGATATCAAAACCAGACAAAGACCAAACCAAAAAGAAGAAATACAGACCAGTCTCACTACTGAACATGGCTGCAAAGATTCTCAATAAAATACTGGCAAATAGAAGGCAGCAAATGATCAGGATTATATATCATGATCAAGTGGGATTTATCCCAGGATTCAGGGGTAGGTTAACATACCGAAGTCAATAAATGTAATACACCACATTTAAAGATAAAATATAGAAATCTTTTTAAGATAAAAATCACATGATCATCTCAATAGATGTAGTAAAAGCTTCTGATAAAGTGCAGCACTTGTTCATGATAAAAATTCACAGAAACTCGGAATAGATTGTATGTATCTCAATCTGATACAGCCATCTATGACAAACCAACAGCAAACATTATACTAAATAAACAAAAACTGAAGGCCTTCACTCTAAAATCGGGAACAAGATAAGGATGTCCACTAACACAACTCCTATTCAATATAGTTCTGGAAACATTAGCCACCAGAGACGAGCAGACAAAAATTAGTAGACAAGAGAGTGAAATAAAAGGAATAAGAATAGTAAAGGAAAAACTTAAATTATCACTATTTGCACATGATACTCTACATAGAAGATGCCAAAAACTCAATCAAAAGACTATTATAGTTAATAAACAAATTCAGTAGTATAGCTGGATACACAGTCAACACTGATAAATCAATAGCACTCCTGTACACAAACAACAAACTCACTGAGAGAGAAATTATGGAAATAACGCCTTTCACAATAGCATCCAAAAAATGAAATACTTAGGAATCAGCCTAACCAATAATGTGAAAGACCAATATGATGAAAATTATACTACTCTAAACAAGGAGATTGAAGAAGATATTAGGAAATGAAAATATATCTCTTGCTCTTGCTTAGGAAGAACCAAATTTATGAAAATGGCCATACTCTCGAAACTGTTACAGAGATTCAATGCAATCCCAATCAAAGTACTGCTGATGTAACTTACAGATCTAAAGAAAACACTCCTAAAATTCATTTGGAAATAGAAGTAACTGAGAAGAGCAAAGGCAATTCTGGGCAACAAAGGCAAGGTAAAAGGCATCTCAATTCCTGACTTGAAGTTATACTACAATGCTACAACGATAAAATCAGTGTGATATTGGCAAAGAAATAGACCTGAGGATCAATGGAACGGATTAGAAGATGCACACATCTACAAAAGACACTCAGCCAACCTATATTTGACAAAGGAGCTAAACATGTTCACTGGAAGAAAGATAGCCTCTTTAATATATAGTATCGGAAAAACTGGCTTTCCACATGGCATAGAGTGAAGCTAGACCCATGTCTATCACCATCCACTAAACTAAAGTCAAAATGGATCAGAGATCTAAATATTAAAACAGAAACACTAAATCTACTGGAAGATAAGGTTAGTAGAGATCTTGAAGACATAGGGGTAGGGAGGCAAAGAGTTCATGAACAAAACACAAACTGCATGGGAAATACTTCAAAGAATCAACAACAGGGATCTCATATTATTAAAAAGTTTTTGTACTTCAAAAGAAATCACCAACAAAGCGAAAAGAAAACCCACAGAATGGGAAAGAATTTCGGCAAGCAGTCCCTCAGACAAAGGACTATATTAGAACATACAAAGAATTGAAAAATATCAAGCCCCTTAAATTCAAAGATACCCTCCAAAAAATGGGCATTTGAGATGAATACACATTTCTCTGATAAAGATACACAAATAGCAAATAAATACATGTAGAAATGTTCACTGTTACTGGTCATTTGAGAAATGCAAATTAAAAGAGCACAGAGAGTTCATCTCACTCCAGAAAGAATGGCTACAATATTGGAGGAGGGCGTGTGGGCAAAAAAGCAATGCTTTTGCATTATTGCTGGGAATGTAAAGTTGTGCAGCCACTGTGTAAATCAGTATGGAGAGTCTTCAAAAACTAGAGTTGGAAGTTTCTTTCAATACAGCTATTCCCCTCCTGGGCATTTTCCCAGAAAAACTGAAAAGGTCATGTCACAGTGATATATGTGCACTCATTTTTATAGCAGCACAATTTGTAATAGCTAAATTTTGGAAATAAGCAAAATACCCATCAATTGCAGAATGGATGAAAAATGTGATACTTTTATGCAGTATAATGTTATTCATCTACAAAAAAAGATGATCTTGAGGCTTTTATAGGTAAATAGAGGCCTCAAAGGAGAAAAGTTCTTTTTGACTTCTTTGTACATATTGTACTTCTCACTGTAGCATCTTTGAAAATTATGTTTTACTTATTCATTTTTTGTGGCTCATCATTAGTGATAATTTCTATTAGCAGACTAATTTCTAATGTAAAATTATTCATATATATTATTGATTTTCATTCACAACAATAATTATATTTTATATTGACTAGCAGGTTCTGTATTTGGCTCTGATTAGCTTATCAGTGCAAAATACTTAAAAGAAGATGCCCTGTTTAGTTGTAAGCACTTATATTAAAATAGTTTAGTATGTATGGCAGAACCATTCACTTCCATAATGTATTTAGAACTATGCTTTATGAGGTGAGAAATTTCTTGGTAAAGATATAATTTGATATTTTTGGTTGAAGAAGACAACTTTCTTCTAAAGGCTAGAAAGGTCTACTCAAACGAATAAAGCATACGGAGGCTTACTGCGCTTAATATAATATGCATTTTCAAGAAGACAAATGACATGGAAGAGCCATTGACCACTGTGTTCGTCTCATCATATTCTAATGATATATTGTTTATATCAAAGTGTTGTCTTACTGTCTTTTGAAGCACATGCTTGAGAGCTTCTTTTACCTGTTGGTTCCTTAGAGTGTAAATGAAAGGGTTGAATAAAGGAGCAATGGAAGCATTGAGCACAGCTACTCCTTTAGTTAATGTCACCCTTGCCTTTGCTGATGGCTTCATATACATAAAGATACAGCTCCCATAAGTAATAGAGACAACAACCATGTGTGAGGAACAAGTGGAAAAGGCCTTTCTTCTTTGTTGAACAGATGGGAATTTTAGAATGGTTTTGATGATAAATGTGTAGGAAAAAACTACTAATAAGAATGTGACAACAAGAGTCATCATAGCTAAGACAAAATTGGTCAGTTCTATAAAATGTGTATCTGTGCATGAAATCTGAAAAATTGGAGAAGTGTCACATAGGAAATGGTCAATCACTTTGGGAGCACAGAAATCCAACTTGAGTCCCAAGAGCAAAGGGGGAAAGATAATTAAAACTGCAGTTTCCCAGGAGCTGAGCACAAGCTGGTAGCAGACTTTGCTTTTCGTGGTGTTTGGGTAACGCAGTGGTTTGCAGATGGCAACATAGCGGTCATAGGCCATGGCAGCCAGGAGGTAAAACTCTGTAATTCCTAATAGAAAGAAAAAGAATAACTGAGCTACACAACCACTGTAGGAAATTGTTCTGTCTCCAGTGAGAATGCTTATTAAGAACCGTGGAATGCAGACTGTGGTGAAGGAGATTTCTAAGAGGGAGAAATTTCGGAGGAAGAAATACATTGGTGTCTTGAGGCGGGGGTCCAGCAGGGTGAGGACAATGATGATGAAGTTCCCCATCAGGCTCAAGATGTAACTGAAAAATAGAAACAGGAAAATCACCATTTGTAGAAAAATGTCATCTGTCAGTCCAAGCAGAATGAATTCTATCTCCCTAGACTTATTCTTCATTTCCTTTTTGTACTATCAGATTTAAATAAACTAAAACAAATATCAAAAGTAAGAAAACTTTCTTTTCATGCATAGACTTTAATATTTAGAAACTTACCAATGTATAAATATTTTATCAAATCAACTTAGAGTTCATCAAAATGAATATATCTTCAACTCCAAAAATCAGGTTTGTAAGAATGCTAGGAATTCTTTGCTTGTCCAAAATTGAGTAAGATCTCCTTGCCAATTCATAGAAAGTTTATTAGTCATTTGAAATGTGCCTCCTCAATTTTTTCCTTAATATTATAAGCATTGATCTGACTGATTTTCAAATACTGTATCTTTAAACTGTTGTAAAATTTGACACTTTCCAATTTCTGACTGTATCTAAAGTTTCCATAAATTGCATCCTGAGTTATAGGAAATGGCTTTATTTGCAGTAGCTATAGTAACTAGCAACTGAGATATACATATAGTATTATCAAAATTTGTAAAACAGTAAAATTTCAAAGAAAAACAATACATGAGGATCATACAGTGAGTATCTATAAAGTGTGACTATGACTCTGATCAGACCAAAATCTGTTAAATCACTAATTAAGAAGCTAAAAGATAAATTGAAGAATGGTGAAATGTGGGTTATTCACTGAAACTGCAACAGTAAACATTGACTCTCATATAATTTCTCACCTCTTACCGTATCTGAATACTTAAAAAATGTACAGAAAAATAACTATCATAACTACAGTGCTCCTGAATCATAGTTAGAAAAGTGATGTTTCAGGTAGCATTTAATAATGCTTATTTATGTTTCATAGATTATGATAGATAGATAGATAGATAGATAGATAGATAGATAGATATAGATAGATAGATAGATAGATATTGTATTACTAGAATTTCTCAACAGCATATTTAAGCGTTAGTTGTTCTAATATTATAATCCAGTAAGTGGAAAGTGAATAATTAAAAGACATAAAACTTGGAAAATGTACTTATATTCTGCATAATATACAACATTTGAGATGGCATATAATTTCCTGACTAATGAAAGATGACTTCATATAAAACAATCTAATTCTTATGGTATTTAGCATACATAATCAGAGAAATAAGCCTTGCCAAGGTCAACTGCCAGAATTTGTGTATCTGTGCTTTTAATTGCAATGAATCAAAGCTTTCCATACCTTCACTAAAGTGGATTTGTTTTTTAATTTTTTTATTTAATTTTATTTTTTTGCTAATCATACTGGTTTTCAAGTATTTCCAGTAACAAAGGCAATGATTTGTATGCTCCTCTTGGGAGATTATCCACCTCTAATTTTTGATTGCACTTACTTGAGTTGTCACTTTCTTCTAAATACAGTACCATTATGAACAGTTTAGTAATGTTGATAGTGCAAAAATTAACATTTTTTTAGTTATGCTTTTGAAAAACCTATGGTTGACTGAAAGAAATGCACACTAAACAATTTTTGAAGGAGAGAAATAAAAAAATGGTTTGAAAATATCTTCTGAGAAAAGAAATGTAAAGTGAAAGGAAATATAAAGGGTTATGGAAGTCCAACCAAATTACTTGAGTTCAAGGAAAGATTCAAAAATTAAAATTATGAAAATGATTTTATTAATACATAAAAAATGGAAAACAGTTGGAATAGAACATGTTTCTATTACTAATACATACTTTTTCTAAATTTCTAAAGTATATATTAAAACACAAGTATATTTTAAATCAGCAAAATCTGGAGAAAAAAGTAAATGAGCATGTAATATATTTTATACTCACAATGATAGCACTGTAGTTGAGACAAATTAGAATTGCTGAACTAATAATATTTAACTGAGGCAAACATGTAACCAACAATTATCTTTAAATCTATTGATATATATTTTATATTATTAATAATATATACTTTTTCTAATTAGTATATAATATTAATAGTATATACATACATAATTCTCAACACTTTGCATATATTATACAGACTAAGTGAAATTAAATGTAAAAAGGTGTATCAGTGCTTGCATTCAGAGAATGGAGTCATATTAATGAAGGCTATTTTAAGATTTCATTATTTTAAAGTTTTATAAAATTTCCTGTAGAAACTTTCATGCAAGGTCTAACTAGAAGTCAACTTATAGAAATTTCTTCCGAAAATAGTGAAATAATTACGAAACTCTTTTAGATTTTCTATGATCATCAAAACAGAGCCACTTTAAATTGGCATTATGTAAGAACGTGTAATCCACATTGAAGTTTTAATAAAATCCTTTTCAACCTATAAAATTATTTTTTAGAACAAACACATTCAAAATAAATACTAAGGGGTTGGGCTATAGCTCAGTGAAACAATGCCTGCCTGGTAAGCGCAAAGTCATAAGTTCAATTCCTGGTACCAAATAAAATAAATAAATATAAAAATTAATTACAAACCGAAAATACAGAGGTACCTTGGTTTATTAACTTAATATTTTCCTTGATTCTAGTCACAGCATTCATTCCATGATTCTGGAATTGAATTCATGAACTGAAATGCCACTTTAATGAGAACGTAAATGTTTCTTCCACTGTCACCCGCAGACATTTATAAAATTTGATAGCTGAGTATTTTGCTTTTAAGATGGGCCTTGAAAGGCATCAAAGACATGAAAAAGATATACAAGGTAAATGAAGCATCATAAGTCAAAAAGTAGTGGCTTAAATGTGATTCGATTGGAAACAATCTTCCTATATCTCCCACTTGGTCATTTCTGCTGAAACCATAAATTAATAGGAAGAATAGTACCCAAATGTCTGGAGTCCTTTAGCGCAATCAAATGCTTGTGAAATAATAAAATACTGACCTTTACTGAAATCATGGCAAAGCTGATAAAAATTCTTAAATATAATTTAAGCTAGAAGTCCCTCGTGTCAACTGCTGATCTGTTCTGCTTTATCAAACACCTGTACCATCTCTTCACACAACATGCGCACTAAGAAAAGCAACACAAAACATAGAATGAGATTGTATGAATACAGGGCAATTAAAGCAACTATATTTAAGTTTTTTAGATATTATAGCACATTAAAAATATAACTTAAATTACTGCCGTATCTTTTTGGTAATTGCTTACCATCACCTACAAATAAAACATTTAAAAAATTGAATAGTTTACATTAATAAAACATAAAAAACATTTAATTGTTTAACAGCTTTCTTTAACAAATTTTACACATAGACATGAGCAAACTTTTTGAACTTCAATACCTGTTCACCAATCTGGTGAACAGTGAATAGTCATGTCCATTCTTCATACTAACCATTTCTTTGTACACAAAAATATATGACTGATTTAACTGTTACTCATAAAAATTACATGGACTGATTTATGGCATACTATTAGAAAATGTATCAGTTCATGCTCTTTCTACTTTACACTGCAATTCATTTATCTAAGGAACTGTGAACCTTGCTAAATCACATACACTACAATATCACAGTTAACTCTTAAGCGTGTAGAGGATGTATGACTTCTCTGCCTTATGGGAAAAGAGCTAACAAAAACAAAATGTCCTCAGGGTAATTGAGATCCAGAGTCAACATTTCCTAGGGGATTTTAAATTTTATGTTGCAGAGGTGCTTTCTCCAGAGACATACATACAAAACTCCACCCTTTTGCTTGTTTTAAGTATGATTTAAGAGAATTCAGGAGAGAATGAACACAATTGTCTTTTGAAAACACGGATAAGTAGTTCAGGAGTTAGAAGAGAGAAGAAGCAATATTTTAAGTGAATATCAGAAGGGATAGTATAAATTGGAAAAGCCCTGTTCTATAGATCAATTGACCTCAAGATAAATATATCTTGTTACTGTGGTTTATTCACTTTACAATATATCCTTTCAAACTCAAAATTTCCAATGCATGGAAATTTCAAATTTGTTTATAGCTACATAGTCCTGCTTTGTGAGGATGTGCCATGGTTTATTTAGTCACACCTTTTTTGTTTTATGATATATTTACTTACGTGTCATACACCAGCTTCCATTATATTGATATGTCTTCTCTCATGATAATTTATAGGATCTTCAAGCAAATATAAATGTTTTATAAACGTTAACAAATTGTATATATACATTCACAATAATTAATATCCTTCAGCAAGAAAAACACTGAAGCTTTTACACTAGTAAACACAGATGCAATGAGAATCTACTCCAAGTATTTTAGTTAGGGTTTTCAAGGAAAATAATTTAATCAGATGCATAATTTTAGGATTATTTTATAATATTAACCCAAAAAGTAAAATGCCAAAGAATGTGAAAGATCTGTCCACACACTAAAGAATCCACCTGAGAGCCTAAATCCCATGGCAATGTCCTGTATAAGTCCAGTTGAAGACCTAAGAGCCCATGGCAATGTCTTCTATGAGTCCAGCTGGAGAACCAGAGCCCACAAAAATTTCTCATGCAACTCTGTTTCAAGAATCTGCATTGAGAAAGCACAAAGGTCAGTAGTATAAGCTAGAAAATCTGCACCAGCAGGATGAAATTTCCGTGCCAGCAGGCTGAGGAATCTGTGCTGAAGTCAAGAAGCGATGCTCAAAGTAAGGACCAGAAGTCTCCCAAAGAGCACCAAAGTCATCCTCAGTGACAGCAAAACTTGTGCTCCTCTGACAGTGAGAGCAATCTAGCTCATATCAGGAAGGCCAGTATGACAAGATTCTGCTGGATAATCAACAGCATTGCTTTCCCTCTAGTTCTCTATGTTGTTGGCAACAATTGTCAGTGGGCCAACTACACCCAGCAGAACGTTGAATCAGTTCAGCTGGGTGTTTGTCTTGCTTACTTTTCTTTCATTGCTTGAACAAAATACCTGACATTCATAGTTAAAGAGTGAAAGATTTACTTAGCTCACAGTTTGTGGAGGTTTCAGTACATATAATAAGCTGGCTCCAAATCAGTGTGGCAAGGCACAGGGGCAACCATTCAAGGTGGAAGAAAACAGCAAAATCAACATGAGCAAAAAAAGGGAACAAGCCTCTTTTTCTTCCTTGTATTATATGTAAGCTACCTACTCTCAGGTGGGTGTAGCACTCGCATCACCTCTGTGCCCTCCTTTTGCACAGGCTCAAGAGCTTAAAATATGAGTAGCCTGGCCTGGATGATTCAGTTAAACTTCTAACCTTCTCAAATTGACACAGTGTTCAACCACTACAGTTACAAGTGGACTATTAGCTAATTCACCACACTGAGCATTTTTTTCTCTGAGAAAAGGACATCACAATACTTGTTCAATTAAGAAAACTATGATTGGGCCTGGGATTTAGCTCAGCAGCATAAGTGCCTGCCTGGAAAGCACAAAGTCATGAGTTCTAATCCCTGGTACCAAAAAAAAAAAAAAAAAAAAAAAAAAAAAAAAAAGAAGAAGACGAAGACGAAGAAGAAGAAGAAGAAAAGAAAGAAAACTATGGTTATAGTTCGGGATGGACTTTAAGCACGGCCTCAACACCTAGCCACTAACTAGATGTTGAATGGCAGAGCTGCATCTCCTGTTTATGCCATGGATTCATAGGAATCAGGTTCTAGTATCTCAGGCTCCTCTCACTGATTCTCATGAAGTATGCTTATCCATATGGGCAGACTAGTGCTTCAACTGAACCCACATAGCTTTCTCTTTACTTTCTTTTTTGGATTGTTTTCTGTGATGTGTTTCTGGAAGTTATCTCAACTCTCAGAGTGCTTAATATACTCAGAGTGCACATTAATTCTCTTGCCAAATATCTTGCCTTTAATTTGCAACACCAACAGCGTGCTGGGTTAGACTACAGACTCATGATAACATTTGTGCAGCATTTCTCTTCAAAAACTTCCCATTGCTTTCATGGCCACAGTATTCTCCTTTTCATAGGTTTGTATATATGTGGCCAAAGGAACAATCACGTTTCTAAAAGGCCTAGAGAACACGCACCAGGTTCCTCTGCATTTTCCTTTGTTGTCATTATTTTTGAAATTACTAGAAGAGTGCAATTCTGGCAGAAAAGTTTAATAATTCTCTTACATGTTCATTAACAGACTATTTCAAACTTAGAAAAATAAAGAAGTGTACCAAAGAACAAAATCATACGTATTTTGATAACATTTTTATAAAACCCATAATTTCCAAAGTGTCAAAGATATTGTTTAGAACAAATTCTTAATGTTGAAAATACTGAATAAAAAGAAAATCTTGTATCTATTTTTTTCTCTATGTGTATTTATCAATTCCTACCAGCAGTGTGGTACCCTTCCTGTTTTTCAGTAGCCTGTAAAACAAGAGTTAAAAAGATGTTGGCTGTCTTGTGTGTAAGCAATGAAAACTGAGAATCATTTACATTTTCATTTCTTTATTTGTGAGATTGAATATAATATCATGAACTGAAAATTCCATGACATACATTTACACATTTATGAATTGTCTACATGTATTACTTACTCATTTTTAGGTATTTCCCTATTTATTCACACTTTAGAAGAGTTATCATATGCCAATAATATAATCTTTTCATTTGTTATATATGTTGAAAATATTTTCTTTTGCTTGTTTGATTTATGATTTTGTTAACAAACTTTTTTATGTGCTTTATGGTTGTTTGTATTCAAAAGTATCAGTCTTTTGTTTGTCTTTTACTCTGTTTGGATTTTTGGCAATATTTAAAATTCTTTCCTTAATATTCAGTTAGAAAAGATGTTTGCTTAGATTTTCTTTTTCTTTTTTTTTTTTCTTTTTTTGTCTTTTTCCTTTTTATCAGTACCGGGGATCGAACTCACAACTGCCTGCTTGCAAGGCAGGCGCTTATGCCGTTGAGCTAAACCCATAGCCCCCTACATTTTCTTTTAATATTGTTCAGTTTCATTTTACTTTAGACCCCTAAACCATTTAGAGTTTATTTTATGTATGATATAAGAAATGGCTTTAAATTAAACTTTTTAAAAATTACTTACTGATGTTTAAGTAATATTTATTTTAAATGTCCATTTTCATCCCCATGACTTGCCATCTTATCATTTGCATACTTTCACACATAATTGGGTATATATCTGGAAATTTTACTGTTTGACTTGATCAGGCCTTTAATGCACCTTTACCCTAGAATTTTTTATTTAGACTTTTACTGTGTGTTTCAATGCTTGTTTGTAGTTTCCCCTTGTAGCTCTTCTTAATATTTTACTAGGGTAAATTTATGTAATTATTTTTCCACATATAATGTAGTATCAGCTAACTTTACTTTGGAAAAACAGCTGGTTTGTATTTACATTTATAGTTTTTAGTAAGTGAGAAGCTTCATATTTTTATAAAGAATTCTTGGGCTAGGGGTTTAGCTCAGCGGCATAAGTGCCTGCCTTGCAGGTGTGTGGTGATGAGTTCGATCCCCAGTACCAATAAAAAAGAAAAAGACAAAAAAAAAAAAAAAAAAGAATTCTTAAAGAGAAAAAATGTTTTGTGTCTCCCTTTCTACATTAAGGAGTATATCAAATATTGACAAAATCATGTTGATTTTTTCAAAATGTAAAATCAACAAAATGATCTAACCTATTAACAAATAAGAAGAGCAAAATATTATCAGAAATCAAGATAAACCACAAAAATAATAATAAATAAAATCACATTTCAAAATTTTGAGCTACAAGAAATGCATAAATTTCCCAAAACATATCCCCCACCAAAACTAAATCAAGAATAAACAAAAAGACTGACTGTACCAATTATTAATAAAATAATTGAAGTAATCAAAAGTCCTCAGATAAAAAACAAGATAAGATGGCTTTGCCGCTGAATTCTACAAATACTCAATGGAGAATTAATACAAATTTTTCTTAGACTCTTTGAAAAAAATGAGA